CTGATACATGTTGAAAAAATCAAGTTTGCTCAATTGAAGGACTGACTTGTTGCAGAAGTGAGCTACTGCGTGCCTGAACTTTTCAAGTTTTCTACAGAACAGTTAAAAGGTGAATCTGATTAGTGCCATCATCTCAAAAAATTGATGAAAATTAAGTCATAGGCACAGGATAAACAACACAAAAAGAGTGGTATCAATGACCACTCTCCAATCAAGGTGAAAGCTTTAGTCAATACCATGGGAATAAACAATATGGTCCTTTAATGGAGTGGAAAGAAAAAGTAAAGGGTTATCAAATCATCATCCTTTTCAAAATTCTTAAAAACAATGACTCACATTTGAAACACATTTTCAACTAGTGCAAAACTAGAAATTCAGATCTTCTCTTCCTCTTTGATTTCAAGCCCGCCAATTCATTCCTCTCTATAAACACATGAGGATTTCACCTAGTTTGACATAATAATCAAGGTGACAGTCAGCTCAATGATAGTTAACACACATGCATTAGATAAATGGGCTCTTTAGTTAACATTCTAAAAAAGAAAATTGCTCTTGTAGTCCATATTAAGCCAGGCATTTGTTCAAGAAAACTATTTCCATTAAGTAATGGCAAATTTATCAGATAAAGGGGTAATAGGGGATACAGCTTGTGTGAAAAACTTTATATTTAACAAGCTTTATGTGAAAAAGAGACCATCACCCAAAGGCTATTTGATCAAGATTGAACCATCACCCAAAGGCTATTTGATCAAGATTGACTAACTACTAGAGAATATATTATTTAATCTAGAAGATTAATCACAAAATAAAACAATGACTATAATCCCCGAGATGACATGATTATTATACGTGATATGACTTGACAAAATGAGACGTCCAGAAGATTCATCACAAAATAACACAATGACTGTTCATCGCAGAGATGACTTGAAAATAAGACATTCATTTTAGTGACAGTCACCCCTAAACAACTTTCCACCTGACCAAAATCCAATTTCTAAGCAAATATCTCTAAAATAAGAAAGAATTCAGGTACCTCACAAAAATTTAAGCATCTTCCCTAAGATGCAACACTTAACTTCCTTACGTCTGAAGCTCCACAAAGAGGGTCTCAATTCAATATATTGTCTAGAGAGCTCTAAGACCAGATTCCTCCTACCATGGTTTAGTGCTAGTCACGTTGGAATTCTAGCACTTGGTATTTCCCATAGACTTGGGGGGTTATTTTCCCACAACCTATGAGCCCCTAGTTTGATAACTTGACCTCAGCTTGGCATAGCCTTCTCCTTGCGTTCTTAGACAATTTATGTGAATCCTCATGTAATTCGACTTGCAGTTACTTGCCATCTTCCCAGCTACCCTTTTCAGCAGTTAATGCGTTAGAATAACCTTTATGCCACTCTTTCTAACCAGACTTTCGTTTTCCTTCTTCAAGAGGCTCCTTTGTCTTCAGTTTAAGCTGGTGCCTCTGATTGTTGTGTACTCTCCATTCCTTCTCCCTATAAAAAGCAAGCTTCTTCAAGGAAACATACTGATCTAGTTGTTTGTCATCCATCATCAGAATTTCCGGAGTTCTCAATCCATATCCGTTCAGTTTGATCTTTGCATACTTAAACCATGTCTTCCAATCTCCAATTGTATCCTCATAATCTAACTTATAATAATCCTCCATCGTTGCTCTTCAGCTCTCTTTAGCAAAGATAGTTTCCGTTTCCTTCTACGCTTTCCATTTTTAGCAAAGATAGATTCCGTTTCCTTCTTCGCTTTCCATCCTCAGAAGATATAGTTTCTTCTTTCTGTGCCGCATCATCATCATCTTCAGTATAAATTGGGAACCAGATCAAATAGTGTTTTGAAAGCTAGTCATTCAAGCTTCAACTAACTATTTAAATGGAACTGCTCTATGACCCCAACCCGGGAAAGAAAAAGTTTGCATCTACAAAATCTTCGCCAACCACTGCTAAAATCTTTTCCCATTAGGTGAGAACAGCTGTATTGTCGCAATACTTCGTTCATGGTGCCCTTTTAAAGTACTTCCTAAGCTATCTCCTGTACTTCGACAGTGAAAGAGTAAGATCTGCATAACTAGCTCATCCTTTTTGTAATAGATCAGGTCTTCTATGGCATCAGATTTACCTCAGAGAAGGCTCATTCATGCTAAAAGAGTAACTCTCAAACAACTTCCACTTCATTATTTCAAAAAGCAAGGACAAATGTAGAAATTAATTTAGAAATTTTTTTTTAATTTTGCATAGGTTGGCCACAAAATCATGATTGTTGGAGTATTTACAATCACACTATCTCTGTTTTTGCACTCTGTTTTGCGCTTGCAGCCATATATACAAATAATTAATAACATGCTAAGTAGAAAAAAATGAAAAAAAAAAACAATCTGTTTTACTTCACAAGACAAAATGTATGCATGACTACTCCCTAGTGGTTGTAGAACCAAACAAGATGTATGTCGTCCAACCTGACCCCAAACTCTTTGTTCCCAACCTATTTGGTTTTCTGACCACCATTATTTAAGTGGCATCCCTAGATTAAAATAAATTCACCTCCAAAACACATGAAACAAAGAAATGAACTGGGTAAATATAAAAGGATGAGATGCTTCTAGTTCATCCAAATCAGAAGTTTTTGCTAGATCCATATGATCTAATAAGCAGATCTTGACATAATCCAGATATAAAGTCAGTATTAGAACATTTTGGACATCTATTTTCTTTCACCTGCACATAGTTGGTATTGAGAACAGCGAAGATTACTTCTAACTAGTTTCAATTGGCGAGGATAAGGGCACGCCCCACGAGAACCATAAGTAACAGCCGAGACGTAAACACCATCCTGCAATAATATCAGAAAGAACTTACTTGGTGTTCTACACAGTTCTGATCCACTACAGATGGAAACAAGGTAACTTCTTCAAAGGAACCCTTTTAAGTCAAATTTATACCATATCTTCCGTTTCAAAGATGGAAAGAAGGTAACTTCTTCAAAGAAGAGGCCATGAATTACAAGGCAAATGCATCCGGCTGTTTGATCCATGCCAAGTAGATATTTACCATGTGTATCACAAAATGCTCATCCAGACCATCACGTGGAAGACAACTCTGGGGAAAAGAATAGGATTGTTAGTCTTGATTTAATTTTATCGGGGCAAAAAAAGTAAAGAATAGTTGTCAATGATAACCAATTTGAACAATATTTTTCTTGTCCGTTATCAAAATATCAGCATGCTCAAAATAACTTCATGACCATCCAACATGTGAAAATTGAAGCTTCAGTGATTGAGGTTTGGGAGAGGGGACATTCCGTCCACTGAATACTACAATCAATAGTGCCACATTGTGTTTTCTCCTTTACTCTACACTCTGTTTAAAAAAAAAAAAAGGCTAATCTAAGGATTATATTTCAATCATCATAAAGGGTCCACAGCCCAAACTTCAATCCAAGTTAAAACCAGCTAGAAATATGTGAATTAACCAAACTTTTTAAATAAAGCACTCCTTCCTGAACACAAATCTTGGCTAGCAAATTATCGAGCTTAAGTGATACATAATAATACAACAATAAGGTGGAAGGAAAGCAAAAGTTGACTGGGCATGAGATGCTCTATCACAACACATTCTCATGCATTTAAAGTAAAGTTAACAATTACCGCTTTGATGTAAGAAACAATGTAGTCCCTCCCAGGAGGACTCAAAACATTGGATGACAGTCTTATCCTATAAAAGTCATCTTCTTGCAGCAATTTCTGCGAAAAATAGGGCCAAGCCACGGTCAGAACATTAGCAAACCTACCTTACACGATTTAAATTGGAAGGAAAATGTGATGTCACCTGGAACTTGTCCTTGTCAACTTCAGTGATAGCATTACTCGAGAACCGCAGCTTGATGAGAGTCTAAAATCGAACAGCTAAACAGCTCAATCAGGCAATCAATTCGGAAAAGCAAAAGAGAAAGGAAAGGAAGAAAAAGAAGAATTAGAAGAGCTAATCTGGAGGAATGGCTATGCCAAATTTATGACCTTTCTAAAGACCAATCATAGAATGGCTAGATGAAGACTGCTTTGACATATCTAGCATTATCTCATCATTATCTTTTCAGTCTCATATTAGTAAGTGACAACTACTCCTTGATATTTGCCTTCTCAACAGATCAACATGTCATGACAAAATCATTACTTCGGTCTGTTTCTTCACTAGTTAACTCTTTGATGCATGTTAAAAAGCAAAGCTTGCAAAATGAAGAACTGACTTGTTGCAGAAACAAGCTACTGCATCCCTGACCTTATCAAGTTTTCTATAGAGCAGTTGAAAGGTGAATCTGATTAGAGCCATCGCCTCAAACAAATTGACGATCATCGTGTCATATGCACAGGATAAAGAACATAAAGGGAGTGCTATCGATGACCATGTTCCTCTCCAATCAAGGAGAAAGCTTTAGTCAATACCCATGCGAATAAACAAATTATGGTCCTTTGATTGAGTGTAAAGGAAAAGTACAGGCTTATCAAATCATCAATCCTTTTCAATATATTTTAACATAATGACTAACAGTTGAAACACATATTCAACTAGCACAAACCTAGAAATTCCAGTCTTCTCATCCTCTTTGACTTCAAGCCCGCCAATTTATTTCACTCTAAAAATATGAGTGCACCCAGTTTGGCATAATAAACACAGCAACAGTCAACTCAACAGTGATAGGCAACACACATGCATTAGATATATAGGCTCTTTAGTTAATGGTCTATAAGAGAGAATTTAGCCCCTGTAGTCCACATTAAGCCAGGCATTTGTCCAGACAACTATTTCCAGCAAGTAACAGCAAATTATCAGATAAAGGGATAATAGGGGATCAAGCTTGTGGAGAAAATTTATATTCAAAAAACCTTACGTGAAAAAGAGACACCACTAAAAGGACTAACTTGATCAAGATTGACCAACTACTGGAGAATACATTATATGACTTGACAAAATGAAACATCCAGCAGGTTAAAATAACACAATGACCATTCATCATTGAGATCACATTACAACAGATTCATTTTAATGCCAGTCACCCCTAAAAAACTTTTCCACTTGAGCAAAATCCAACTTCTAAGTAAATTTCTCTAAAAGATGAAAGAATTCAGATACGTCACAAAAATTTAAGCATCTTCCTTAAGATGCAACACATAACATCCTTATGTCTGAACCACAAAATGGGTCTCAAACCCATATATTGACTAGAAAGCTCTAAGACCAGAGTCCTCCCACCATGGTTTAGTGCTAGTCACATCGGAATTCTAGTGCTTGGTTTTACCCTTAGAGTTCGGGGTTATTTTTCCATAAGCTATGAGCCTCGAATTTGACAACTTAACCTCAGCTTGGCGTTTCCTCCTCCTTGCATTCTTAGACAATTTACGTGAATCCTCATGTAATTCAACTTTTTGTGACTTTCCATCTTCCATGCTACCCTTTTCAGCAGTTGATGCATTAGAATGATCTTTACGCCTCTTTTTCTTATCAGACCTCCGTTTTCCTTCTTCAAGAAGCTCCTTTGTCTTGAGTTTAAGCTGGTGCCTCTGATTGTTGTGTACTCTCCATTCCTTCTCCCTATAAGGAGCTAGCTTCTTCAAGGAAACATACTGATTTAGTTCTTTCTCATCCATCATCAGAATTTCTGGAGTGCTCAATCCATATCTGTTCGGTTTAGTCTTAGCATACTTAAACCTTGTCTTCAAATCTCCAATTGTATCCTCATAATCTAACTTATAGTACTCCTCCATCATTGCCTCTTCAGCTCTCTTTAGCAATGATAATTTCCGTTTCCTTTTGCCTTTTCCATCCTCAGAAGATATAGTTTCTTCATTCTGTGCCTTGGGGATGTGATCAGATTCCTCTGCCTCCTTCTCTTCCTCCTCCTCCTCCTCCTCCTCTTCCTCCTTCTCATCATCATAATCATCATCACCACTGTCATCTTTACCTCCATCATTTAACTTGTGTCTTAAGCTTCTTTCTCTAGCTGCTAAGAATCCATCCTTCGACTCTGCTTCATCCCAGCCAACCTGTAGTCCTAGCAATTCATCTTCCTTCTTGAAGTCTGGTTTTTCAATTTCTCCACCTTCTTCATCTCCGTCACTGCCAAAGTCAGGGTCCACATCATCTGCGTTGTAATACTTTTCATTAAAAACTTGCTTCATCATCCAATCATATTCCTCGGGATCGAAGTCATCATCAAGATCAACTCCATTCAATGGGCAGTCCTCATCTTCATCTAGCCCAGCAATCTGCTTGAACTTTTCAAGCTTCTGCTTCATCTCCTCCTTTTTTAAATTCTTCAAGTGCTTCAACTCCTCCTTCCTTTCCATCTCAGCAACCTTCATCCTCTCCTCCTTGCTCTCTCTCTGCTTCTTCCTAGCCTTCTCAATCTTCCTCACTGACCCCTCGATGGTCCTCGAATGACCCAATACCCTGTCACCTGCATTCTCCTCGTACCTAAAATTGGTTTCATAATCCTCTTGCTTCTCAATCTCCTCCTCATCCTTCAACAACTCTTCCAACTCCTCCTCATTAACATGTCCTTTGCTCTTGTTATCCTTGTCAACCCACATCTTATTCAAAAAGAACTCCTTCAGAAACATCTCATTCTCACCCAAACTCTCGCTCCTGCCAAAATATTCATCCAGCTTCTGCTGAAACTCTGCAGCATCACCACCTTCGACTGGATCACCATCATCTCTCCTCTTCACTGTCAAAAGATCACCATCGTCGACATCAACCTCTGCAGCCTCCGCAGCTTCCATGAAAGCCCTTCTCATCTCCTCTTGCTCCTCCCTGTAGCTCTTCTTCTTAGTAGCCTCTGTCTGCTCATCATCAAATTCAGGTCCCTCCTCAATCAGGTGCTTGGCCACCACATCTTTCAAGTAAAGCTTATGTTTTCTCTCCTTCGACTCCTTCTCTTCATCACCGTCGCTATCTTCAGACTCGAAAAGAGCGACATTCTTCTCTTTAAGACTCGGGTCTTGGCTTCGCACCTTAATTAGCGCATTAAAGAACTCCAAGTCCTTCTTACTAGCCTTACTCACATCAACATCATCATCCAAAGACGATGAAGACTCGGAGGAGGACTCGTCATCTGATTCAGAGGAAGACGAGGAGTCATCTCCTACGAGGCCCTTCTTTTTGAGCTCCTGAAGCCGATGGAGGTCCTCACGTTTCTTGTTATGCTCGAACCGGCGAGCGTATTCTTTGTTGATCTCAATCTTCGAGACATCGTCGCCATCGGAATCGCCGCCCTCAAACAGCTTCAACCCCATCCCTGAAGCGAGAGTCAGCAATCACAAGTGTGCTTATCCAATGGACGACAAAGGGAGAAACAATTTGATCCTGCAAATAGATGGAGCAAATTAACACAAAACAAGAACAAAAAGAAGAAGAAGCAACTTGAATTGGAGATTAAAGATTTGCATGAACGAAGAGAGACGCAACAACGTAGGACTGGGCGACAACAAGGTTGCAGCCCTCTGAATTGAGATCAGAAAGAGCTCTGCCCTGATGAGGGTTTATCCTCTCATTTTCTACAAAACCAAAAAAAGATAAATATAAACAGACCGAAACACGAGTGCGAAACTTGGGCCGACTGAATTGGCAAGCATTTTACAAGATTTCCCTTACAACCGACCACCGACCGGTCCCCATTGAGTTCAGTAGCTTCAATTCACTAATTACAAATTTTGTCAGGTGGCCTCGTCGAAACTACGCCTCCTACAAACCATTTCATGTTTCTATGACAGAACAATAAACGAAATCATAGATTCAGTTTCGTTCTATGAAAGTGGTCTCCGGGAACCAGGATGCATCATATCAGAATGCCGCATGCCGCACACGAAAATTCCGGGCGAAAACGCCTACAGGTTAGGGCAACCTTCGGACCTTATCTGGGTTCTTTAGGTAACGCCCGATCCCACCGATTCTAACATCAGAGGGGGGAAACAAAATCATGGGTCTCGTGAAAAAACAGCGACAAAACTACGAACATTTCCGAGAAAAGCACAGAACAAGCAATGGCCAAAAAAAAAGGGGGGCAAGAAACGGATTGGAGCTATGGCCAACCCAAGTAGAAAGAAGCAAGAAGGGAGACCGCCGGAATACCAAGAAACGAAAGGCAGGCTCTCTCTCCGTCCTCGCCGCCCCGGCGGAGGTAGTGGCGGCGCCGGCGTTCGGGGGGCTTGTCTCGTCGGCGTCCTCTGGTTCTCTCTCTTCGCGTGCGGTATGAACCCTAGAAAGAGAGAATTTTGGGTCTTTTTGATATGAATCGGGTAAAGTTCGGTGAATTGAAATAATACGCGGTTCGCCGCTGCTTCTCGTTTCATTAAAGTTTCTTTTGGGCTCTATACGAAGCCCAAAAACTTTCATCCCGATGTCTAATTTCAACTATTACATGATTTTATAAGGGAAAGACCCGTGTGAAAATGAGTAAAATGTAGCAAGAACAAGGAACTCTCTAGAGGTATGTTCGACGATAAAGAAACGAGGATGGAAGAGAAAAATATTCCTCGATTAGATTTATTTTTGGCATGTGAGTATTGTCGTTCTTTTCGTGGTGCGGTTCGGTTTTGTCGAAAATTTTCGATCATATGAGGTGAAATCATAAGAAATTCCAAATTCAAAGACATTGACTTAAATCCGTCACTGAAATGAAAATAGGTAAAATGAAGTTAGATTAGTGTTCCCTATATATCTCCATAGACCTAATCATTTGGTTTTTTTTATCTTTTCATTAATCGGCGCGTGTTCTGCTAACGAATAGGTCCCATCTTTTTTTTTTTTTTGTGAAGCCACGAATAGGTCCCACCTAATAGGCTAAAATTAGCATATATTGTGAAAAGTAGGGATAATCGATTCTCGGTCCGATCCGGTTTCAAGGTAGAACCGGAAATCGATCCGGGAGGACCGGTTCCCATTTTTGAGAACTGCGGACCGGACCAGTTGATCCTATCATTGGTGGTCCGATTCGGTTCAATGGAACCGATCACCTTTTTATTTTGTTTCTATCACAATGAGAGAAAAGTGACAAATATCAATATATTGACGAAAGCAACGATGAGTCCTATTGACGAAAGCGACGATGAGTAAAGAGTCTTTATAGTACGACGATAAGGAGAAAATATTGTACATGGATTTAGTTCACATTTTACTAAATTTTTTGAAGAAATAAAATATAAAAAATATATATATGTAGTTGGTCCCAACCCTCTTCCCCCTTGGAATGGGAACGGGACCACCTAGACACCAAATCCTAAAAGTGGAACTGAAAATCGAACCAACACTACCGGGAACCAGATCAAACCAGTCGGTCCAGTTCGATCCAAGCGGTCCGTTTTGCACACCCCTAGTAAAAAGGCAGAGCTTTGTTCATGATTTCATATATATAATATTAGAACCTGCTATCCTAAACGATTGAATTGATTCAAGAAAAAATGGTCTTAATTCGGGAAACAAATGGACTATCAATACGCTATCGTTTGATTTCCCCAGGTAGGAACAGAAAACAAGTATAGGGTTCAACCATTGTCCCATATCCACCGTGCCATCAAGATATGAATAATGTATCTAGGCAAGCCTGCTGACAGTGCATGAGTCTTTTTACTTTCGGCTCAGCAACCCGCTCTATGACGTGTTTTACGACGGGTGATGAAGTGGTCGAGCCATCTTGACATCCCCAATTCTGCAAAGAAATCTATTCGAGAACGAAATCTAAAATCCCCCGTGAATCCATCTTTCATCTTCTTCTCACGGCTGTTGGACCACGCTGAGCTCCGGCTGCACCCTGTTGTGGTTGGGATGCTGACTGGCCACCCGCCTGCTCCTCAGGAGGCATATTCATCGCCTGTGTTACGGCGTTCATGACTACAAGTCCGAGAGGGATCGCGTACATCCACTGAAAATCACAGGAATCAATGATGAGCAATTGGAGATTTTAACTTCTGAGAGCCTAATATGTAGGAAAGGGAAAAGGCGAACTCACATATTTGGCCCAAAATGATCTTTCCGGTGGCTTCACAACTTCAGCCTCTCCGTTCTCTCCAAGGGATATCTCTTCCACGAATACTGGAGTCCTGCAACAGGTGAAAAATATGACAAATGAAGCACCTACTTTCCCTTATGAATGCAAGCATACTATCACATCTCGATAATAGTGTTTAGGTGCTCGGTATGCTCAAATTCTTTTATGCACCAGACAGACTGGCTTAGCATTTTATTTCCAGACGTGAATGGGAAACTATCACACCAGATGCCTCAACATTGTCTTCACTCTCCCAACAACAAACTTTTCAGACAATAAATGCCTACTGAAATTCTGCATGGAATTAAATGGCAGGAAGTCAAGTTTCGTTTTTCATTTGATTGGAACTCCAAACACACAGGAAACTCTTCCTAAGCAGATGCTGATTTGTTAACACTAATACATCTCTGTAGTGAAAATAGAGTGGAAACATGAGTTGACTTTTATTGTATTTATAGAGTGAGCTGTCTCATCATAAATTAACTGGAATGCAAGCCTATGAGAGATTACGAAAGAGAAAATGAAAAAATGTTATTAATAGATCATGTACCTTGGTGCCAGATCACTGTTCTTTAAAATAGTATGCGAATTGAACGACCACTTCGCTGGCTGAAACATAAGAAACATTATCATGAATGGAAAGGTTATCAAGGCATGGCCAAACCTCAAAATTAAGGACAGTTGAACATCAACAGATCATAAATGCTGACTATGCAATTGTTCAAAAGGCTCATGCTTTTGCCACTCCAAATATGGCTGAAGACACTACAGCAACTTTGAATGGACGTTATTATCCATTGCAGGTCCTACTTTAGCATGCTATTGGAACTTCAAAATTTTCAATTGCAAAGATAAATATGGGGCCCACTCTTATTTAAACTTATTTCTTACATATTTTCCTCCTTTTTGTTTGGTTTCTCCTTTTTTTTTCTTTTTTTTTTTTTCCATTTGGGACGATACTAGTGATCCTCTTTTCCAAGAAAAATAAATCTTATGGTAGATAGCCAACTAATCATTGTGTTAATGAGTTACATATTTTTTTTCCTTTCGTACTAGGATATTAAAAAATAACCTACGTACAAGTAAAAGTGAAAGAATCATCTACTAATATTAACGAATAGCTTTGGTTTAATCAAATTTTCACTATATGTCATTACGCTATAGTCCGTGTATTTTATCTGCTCAACTTTCATTTAATTCGGTTAATCTAGTAGTCCATTTTTTTATTTATTTTTCATGTCATTACTACACGATTTCTTCATAGATACTTTCAAAAAAAGATTAACAATATGATAGAGTCAAGTACATTAGAAATCTAAACATCCATTATTACCATGCAAATCAAAAGAAAAAGCTCCATAAAACATTATTACATGAAAAAGTCACCAGTAAATGAATGAAAGTTGAGCAGTTAAATACACGGATTATAACGTAATAAGTAGTGAAGTTTTAATTAAACCAAAGACATTCGTTAAAAATAAAAATTCTTTAACTCAATTATGCTTAGGTTATTTTTCGAACAATGGTATCCTAGTACAAAATAAAGAAAAGTATGCAACTCATTAGCACAATAACTAGTTGGCTATCTGCCCAAAAAACTATTTTTGTGGAAAAGAGGATCACCAGTTTCGTCCCAAGGAAAAATAAAACAAGGAAAAGAAGAAACCAAACAAAAAGAAAAAAAAAAAAAAAGGCAACAAATAAGCTTAAATCAAGAGCCCCACATTTGCTGCTCTAGTCATCATAATTGAATCTTTTTAAGTTCCAACATCAAGCTAAAGTGAAATCGGCAAAGGATAATGTCGTCCATTCAAAGTGGTAGAGGTGTCTCCAGCCAAATCTAGAGTGGAAAAAGTGCAAGCTTTTTTAAATTATAAAAACATTGTTCCTAACATGAACTGCTTGAGTCAGATTTTCCATCCCCAACCACAATCTAAGGACTACTAATTGATCAGGAGGAAGTCCCGCACCTTTGTAAGGTCAATGGCCATGTTAAGAGATGGTTATAAGAGAATGCCATACTCATTATCTTCAGCATAAATTAGGTACCAGATAGAATATCCTTTTGAATGCTATACATTCAGGCTTCAACACAGATATTCAAAATGAACTTGATAATGACCCCAACCCAAGAAAGAAAAGGTTTGCATCCTGTAACTTAAAAATCTTCAGCAACCACACTAAAACCTGTTCCCATTAGCTGAGAATAGCTTTATCATCACAATATTTTGTTGGCATCGTAATTGAAGCTTTTTAAGTTCCAACATCAAGCTAAAGTGAAACCGGCAAAGGATAATGTCGTCCATTCAAAGTGGTAGAGGTGTCTCCAGCCAAATCTAGAGTGGAAAAAGTGCAAGCTTTTTTAAATTATAAAAACATTGTTCCTAACATGAACTGCTTGAGTCAGATTTTCCATCCCCAACCACAATCTAAGGACTACTAATTGATCAGGAGGAAGTCCTGCACCTTTGTAAGGTCAATGGCCATGTTAAGAGATGGTTATAAGAGAATGTCATACTCATTATCTTCAGCATAAATTAGGTACCAGATAGAATATCGTTTTGAAAGCTATGCATTCAGGCTTCAACACAGATATTCAAAATGAACTTGATAATGACCCCAACCCAAGAAAGAAAAGGTTTGCATCCTGTAACTTAAAAATCTTCAGCAACCACACTAAAACCTTTTCCCATTAGCTGAGAATAGCTTTATCATCACAATATTTTGTTGGCATCGTAATTGAAGCTTTTTAAGTTCCAACATCAAGCTAAAGTGAAACCGGCAAAGGATAATGTCGTCCATTCAAAGTGGTAGAGGTGTCTCCAGCCAAATCTAGAGTGGAAAAAGTGCAAGCTTTTTTAAATTATAAAAACATTGTTCCTAACATGAACCGTTTGAGTCAGATTTTCCATCCCCAACCACAATCTAAGGACTACTAATTGATCAGGAGGAAGTCCCGCACCTTTGTAAGGTCAATGGCCATGTTGAGAGATGGTTATAAGAGAATGCCATACTCATTATCTTCAGCATAAATTAGGTACCAGATAGAATATTGTTTTGAAAGCTATACATTCAGGCTTCAACACAGATATTCAAAATGAACTGGATAATGACCCCAACCCAAGAAAGAAAAGGTTTGCATCCTGTAACTTAAAAATCTTCAGCAACCACACTAAAACCTTTTCCCATTAGCTGAAAACAGCTTTATCATCACAATATTTTGTTGGCAGTGCCCATAAAGTACTTGCTAAGCTCCATCTTATGTACTTCAACAAATGTGAAAGAGTAAGATCCGCATGACTAGCTCATCCTTTTTATAATAAGATCAGGTCCCTTATGGTGTCATATTAACCTTCATGCAAAATCATAAAGAAACTCACAAACAGCTTCCATTTCATTATTTCAAAAAGAAAGGACACATGTAGAAATTAATTTACAAACACTGTTTTAATTTTCGCATAGGTTGGCTGCAAATTCATGATTGTTTAAGAGTATTTGCAATTACACTATCTCTGGTTTTGCACTCTGGTATGCACTTGCAGCAGTATATACATATATTGAATAACATTCTAAGTAAAAAGGAAAGTGAAAGATAAGAATCTATTTCACTTCACAAGACAAAATATTTGCATGTCTAATCCCTAGAGGTTATAGAACCAACCAAGATATACATCGGCCGACCCGACCCCACACTCTTTGTTGCCGACATATTTGACTTTCTGACTACAGTTATTTCGGTACTATCCCTAGATTAGATCGAATTCTTCACTGAAACACACAAAACAAATAAATAAACTGGGTAAATATAAAAGGAAAGAGATGTTTCCAGTTCATCCAAATAAGAAGCTTTTTCTACATCCATATGATCTACTAAGCAAATGTTGACGTAATCCAGATATATAGCCAGCATTAGAACATTTCGGACAGTCTTTTTTTCACCTGCACATAGTTGGTATTGAGAAGAGAGTTATTACTTACTAGTTTCAGCTGGCGAGGATAAGGGCATGCCCCAGGAGGACCATAATTAACAGCCAAGATGTTAACACCATCCTGCAATAACATAAGAAAACAAATCAACTTTACTTGCAAGATGGAAAGAAGATAAATTTTCCAAAGAAGCCATGAGTTACAAACGAAATGTATCCGGCTGTTTGATCCATGTCAAGTAGATATTTACCATATGTATCACAAAATGCTCATCCAGACCATCACGTGGAAGACATCTCTGGGGAATAGAATAGGATTGTCAATCTTGCTTTAATTTCAGAGGCGCAAAAATAGTTAATAAGAATAATTTCATAGATAACAATTAGAACAAAATAGTTCTTGTCCCTTATGACAGATATCGGCATGCTCAAAATAACTTCATCACCATCCACGATATGAAAATCGAAGCCTCTTTGTGTGTGGTTTGGGGGAGGGGACATTCCGTCTACTGAATACAACAAATCAATAGTGCCACAATGTAATTTCCCATTTACTCTAAACTCTGTTTAAGGAAAAATAAAAGCTAATCTTAAGGATTACATTTTGATCATCAGAAGGGGCTCACAACCCAAACTTCAATTCGAGTTAAAACGGGCTAAAATACGTGAAATTAGGCAATCTTTTTCATATAAAGCACTCCTTCCTGAACAGAAATCTTGGCTAGCAAATGAATCATGCTTAAGTAATCAATCAAAAGCAAGTTGCGACGGAGACACGATTCTACATCACAACACAGTCTCATGCGGTCGAAGTAAAGTAAACAACTACCGCTTTGATGGAAGAAACGATGTAGTCCCTCCCAGGAGGACTCAGAACGTTGGACGGCAGTCTTATCCTATAAAAGTCGTCTTCTTGCAGCAATTTCTGCGACGAAGAGGGGCCAAGCCACGGTCAGAACACAGCAAAAACCTGCATCACGTGATCTGAATCGGAAGGAAAAACGTGATGTCACCTGGAACTTCTCCTTGTCGACTTCGGTGAGAGCATTCCTCGAGAACCGCAGCTTGGTGAGAGTCTACCAACCGAACACCGAAACAGCTCAATCAGGCGATCAATTCGGAAAAGCAAAAGGGAAAGGAAAGGAGGAGGAGGAGGAAGAAGAAGAAGAAAAAGAAGAAGAAGATGTGACCTGGGGGCCGTGGGACCAGGTCTTGAGGCGAGCGGAGAAAACGCCGGCGGGGGAGAAATCGGAGTCGCCGAAGGCGTGCTCGAGGGGGAACTGGACCTTCGAGTCGGACTCGGCGGCGTGGTGATCGGAGTACCTCTTCCGGGACCGGGCCGGCGAGAGCGGATCGACCCCGACCCCGACCCCTCCGCCCCCGGCCCCTCCCCCTCCTCCCGCTCCTCCTCCTCCTCCTCCTCCTCCTCCACCGATCGCCCCCAGATCGTCGTCCTGCTCGACCACGAGCTCGTCGGACTGGAAGGCGCGGGCGCGGCGGTGGTGCGATGCGGTCGCCAGCAACAGCACCACCATCGCCGTCAAGATCCTCCACAACTTCTCGCCCTCCATTGCTGCTGCTGCTGCTGTGCGGTGCTTCCAAGTACGCGAACTCCGACTTCGCCTTCGAGGTCGAGAGGTTGAGAGAGAGAGAGAGAGAGGAGGCGGGGGTGTTTCTGGGAGCGTGGGCCTGGCTATGCATTTGGACCGTAGATGGGCCAAGCCCAACTAAGCTCATCTTTCCCTTTTGGCATTTGATATACGGGTCAAGCAGCTGGGCCGGTTCAACCCGGAAATAGAACCGGATTAGCCTTGTCCGGCGAGATCCAGGCCGGTTCGCAATCGCATGGGGACCGGGTCGATTCCGGGGGGAAACCGGCCTTGACCAGTTTGGCTTACCTAGACCGATCACTCCTGATTTGATATGCAAGACCAAACAAAACTTGATTATTCAATCATGATCTTAGTGCCTGTAGTATTATTTGGATTTGATAGAAGGGTCAGCAATTGGGCCGGTTTAACCCGGAAATAGAAACGAATTAGCCTTCTCCGATAAGATTCAGGCCAGTTTGCATGGGGAGCGGGTTGATTTGGGAACGGGCCTTGACCGGTTCGACTTCCCTAGACCGATCACTCATGATTTAATATGCAAGACCAAACAAAACATGATTATGCAATCATGATCTTAGTGCCTCTAGTATTATATTTTCTATTTAATTGCGTTAAGTATACCATGTACATTTTTCGTCTCATGTATACGCAGTTAGCCATTTCGAGGCAACCAAAAACATTTAAGCTAAATAGTGAATGCACCTACTAGCACAAACTTTTGATCATTCAAAGTAACAACAACATGGACATATATATCTCCTTTCTGAGGGCATTGTCATACTTTGAAATTGTGTTCTTCTTTTAATTCTCAATTTGACATTTGAACTTTAGTTTTGCTCATCTTGGTCCCAAAACTCTTTCAACAGAACCAATTTAAGTTCATGGAGCCAATTTGGTTGATCCGGCATTTACCATGGCGATCCAGCTTAGCTATGGGAGTTGTGGTCGAGCAGAATTGTGTGCGGCCAAAGTTATCACTAATTTTCGTGTAAGTAATGTTATAATTATGAAATAGTCCAAGCTTTTTTTCTTAGTTTTGAACTACATTTGATCTTGTGGAGACCAAACTTGTTGAATCAAATAGGTGGATTTGACATGAGATTAAGATTCATAAGAAAACTAGTTTTATTTGATCTTATCAAATGTCTTCAACTTACACATTTTTGTGTAACCATTCAAAGATTGAAGCTGACATTCTGTCAAATCCGTATCCTAAGAAGGGGTGGGAACCTATCAAGAAACTCTATTTTGCCTAGAATAGATATGCTTGGGTAGGAATTTCTCAGAAAGATGAGTTTAGATATAATGCTTAAAAAGCGTGCTGAAGGGCCACGATTAGGCACAGGCTCTCCCAACCTCTTACCTTGCGCTACAAGATTCACCCTTGAATGCATGTATAGTTTCAAGAAGGGTCGATTGAGCTTCAACTAGAACTATCTCATGAAAGCTTTGATTGGGACATACCCGTCTAGACGGAGATCTATCATGGGCCAATTTTCAATTGGATCCATCTCAAGCATTTCGTATTTCGAACATGTTTAGGCTCGATTCGATTATCTCTTGTGTGTCTCATCCAGCATTTTTCTCACAGGTTCATCTCATAGGAGCTCGACGTTTTACCATTTTATCATGTGAAATGTATCCGTTTGGAGTAGGACTTTCCTCTTGCTATGACTAGATTCGTGTTTATTAGAACAAATTTGCCTAATCGGATTAATCTGCATAAATGATTTCGATCAGATTGCAGCAATAGAGCTGGTTTATCCAGCAAGATTCGTCTCGTATGGACTGGAGATTCGTCTTGTATGGACTGGAGCGGTCTTGTGTGCTTGTTCTTGATCATGTAGGTTAAAGATAAAAGCCACTCATGCAAATTCTGTCTTGCTCGATTGTATGTAAGCATTGAAATGATTCGTAGCGACCTAGAAATTTTTCCAAATAGATTCCTACTTCGCAAAATTAAGAACATCTCGAGAGTTGGATTCCTTCCGGTTCTTGATCGTGTGTATCGGCGATAGGAAAAAGCTCTTTCTCTACGAAACTCAGAGCAACTTGGGAGTCGGAATCCTCCCGGTTCTTGTCCATGTGCGTCGGCAGGAAAATTACCCAAAAAAGTCATAAACCTATTGTACTTGTGTCAATTTAATCCTAAACATTTCAATTTGGCTAATTTAGTTATAAGCATTTTGATAATTTGCCAATTGAGTCATAAACCTTTCAATTGTGTCAATTTGTCCTAAGACTTTTGATGATTTGCCAATTTAGTCTTCAATCTTTTTGACGATTTGCCAATTCAATCATTCCGCCAAATTTCGGCCGATAATCACTAATATAGCGGTTTAATGAGCATCGGCCATTTTACGTGGCATAGCTAGCACTAACGTAGACAATTTTTTTTTTAATTTTATAATTTTTCTACTTTTTTTTCTAACCCTAGGCTAGCTACCTTGCCGGTCACAGGCGACAGCTTCGCCTAGATCTGGGCAAGGGTGTTGTAGTCTTCGCCTCAACCAGGTGAGGGTCACCAGCCCTCATCTGCCTAGAGTTAGGAAATTATAATATCTAAAAATTATCCACGTCAGCGTCGGTCATATCACATAAGATGGCTGACGTTGATTAGATCTCCACGTCAGCGAATTCTAACCAAAATTAGCTAGAATGACCGAATTGATAAATCGTTAAAAGGTTTAGGGCTAAATTGGATTATCTAAATTGACACAATTGAAAGATACATGATAAAAAAATTATCAAACCGTTAAAAGGTTTGGGAATAAATTGGTCAAATTTAAAGATTTAGAACTGAATTGATACAAATACAATACTTTTATAATTTTTTTTGGTAATTTTCTTGCGCCTCGGTGATTAGAATTATTAGGAGTGCACGACGGTACTGTCAACTTTAGATATGATTAAGTTGTTTCCCCCATAAAGAACACATCAACGGACAATCATTTAACTGTTTCTACTCTTTTTTTTTGTAGTGTAGCAATCAATTCGATCATCCTAACAATCCTAGAAACTCCGAGAAGGGCAAGGGCAATGTCTAGATCTATGTCCCACGATCGACCTATACGGTCAACGCCCCAAGGAAACATTAGACGAGAATAGCAGCACATCCGGCACTCCACTCGCAACATCCTAGAAGAACCAAGCGTCTTGTACCCAAAACATCATATCAACCTTTTCTTTTCCAAAGGAACATCCTCGAACGAGGGAGAACATCGGATTGCTTCGAAGCAACGCTTCACAACAACAGCATCTGTTTGCTTCGTTGCGGGATTCTATTCCATCTGCGCACTCACATGTGTAGTGATAGGTGAAAAATAAAAACCCTAAAGATGTAGCCGAAGCGAAATACTCGTGAAGTGAAACCCGTCATGGTATTTAACCTTTCAAGATTAGCCCGGTTGGTTAGGATATTGAGACCCATTTGAATCCTATTGATTACGTGCAAATTTTTCTGGATCTCAATCACTTTTACTGGAGGCCCTAACTCAATCAACTCGTACAAGATGTTTCATGAATTTTAAGGTCGTAGGATCTCTAGACCAGTACCTTTGAATTATTAAAAAAAAAAGAGCCATTAAGATAATTTTTTGAATAATGCTATGATTAGAAAGATATGGAATCACATTTGCCGTTGGAAGGAGAGAGATTTATGGATTTACATGACTACTTTCTGGAGAATTTATATTACGAATCGTTTATTAGAAAAAGACACGTTATTATACTAGAATTAGGTATAATGCATGGGTTTTTTCGTGAAATTTTATAGTAAAGTTTCGAGGTTGGAATCCTCTTCGCGTTTGCTCAGTCATATAGAGAAATTGCACATTAAAATTTGAGGACAATTATCATGTTATATTTGATAACTCAATTAAACAAGAGCGTCTACCATTAATCGAATAAAGCACAATTTGATAACGCAAACCTAGATGAAAAATTAGATTCAGTCAAGAAATTCTCGAGATATTTAATAACCCTCTCCCATTCTGGTTTCGCGACGCCTTACAAATCAATAAAAATTATTGCATAATCTATAAGAAAAAAAATGTAATATCACGTCAATTGTTAATTACATGAATTTCATTACGGGCATTCCCGATTAACGGGAAAGATAGGCTTGGTCTACCTTATACGTAAACGATACCGATACTTTTTTAACCAACTAGAGACGTCTCGAGAAAAGAACCGATCGGGACACCGCCACGTGTCGAACGCTCCGACCCGACACCTGTACTTCAAGAACCTCCGCAGCCGTTATTTCTCTGTACAGTTGCTCGACCCATCAAGAACCTTCGCTCTTTCGCTCGTCTCTCGAGCCATCACCGCTCCGTTATTACCCCTCCCGGCAACCTTCACACTCCATTCCTTGCCAAGCAAAGAAGCCAAGCAGCAGCAAGCCCTCCACAAAAGCTTTCCCACCTTCTCTCCCACGCTTTCCTTCGACCCCGAACACCACCCAGAAACGAACAGCACAAAAGAAGAAGAAGGAGGAGGAGCGAGGCAGAGAATGTGGACGCAGCCTTACAGGAAGAGGGACGTGGAGGAGGGGCCGGGGGCGAGGCCCCTGTACCCGGCGATGCTGGAGAGCCCGCAGCTTCGGTGGGCCTTCATCCGCAAGGTTTACTCCATCGTGACCTTCCAGTTGCTCGCTACGGTCGCGGTCGCTGCCGTCGTGGTTTACGTCCGCCCTATCGCCCACTTCTTCGCCGCCACCCCGGCCGGCCTGGCCCTCTACATCGTCATCATCATCCTGCCGTTCATCGGTACGTCCGGCTCCGTGCTCTTCAAGCGTGTTCCGGTTCTTCAATGGTTCTTTTTAGCACTTGTTTGGATTGATGGTACCCCTTGCCTTTCACTTCATTCATATATTACAGTTCACGCATGTGGGTTTTTCTTTTTTAATTCAAAACTCCTTAACATGTGGAGATAGACTTTGTTGTGAATGATGTGACAGTACTAGAATTGATGTTGATGTGATCATCGTACATCGTTTTCGCATTAAGAGCATGAGAATGATGGTTTTGAGATTTGATGCAGCGCTCTGTCCACTGTACTACTACCATCAGCGGCATCCAGTGAACTACCTTCTGCTCGGGATATTCACCCTCTCGCTCGCGTTTGCAGTTGGACTGACTTGTGCCTTCACGAGTGGTGAGTGCGAATCTTGAAGTGGTTTGTTGATGTTTGCTTCTTTAGCTTTCTGGTGTGATCCTGATGCTTTGAGTGCTACTCGAGAGATGGTAGATATGTACTGGAAGATGAATGAGGAAAATGTGTCAATGGAATTCTAGTAAAAGACATAAGCCTTTTATATTTTGGTTTTGGTAGAGATTTGGGAAGTCGAGAAGCGCCAGGTCGAGCTTATTTCTTTGAAACTTTGGTAGGTTCTACTTGGCTTTACATGTTCCATTGCGTATAAGAGTAAAACTTCTTGTTCTGGAATGAAAATATGATTTCAATGGTCATAGGAAGTAACTCCAGTTGAATATGGTAAATTTAGTGTCTACTGTCTTCGATTGCTAACTAAAATTTGATTATCGTGAGCACTGCCAACACTCTGTCATCTAGTCATGTATGCATTTCAGATGTTGTTTCTGGAACAAATTTGACGCGCGGCACTTCATTAGCACAGATCCTGCAAACAAACTGAGGATTATTAACTGTGCCTGAACACAATCACTAACTGCCATTTTCTTTCCATAGCAAGGGACTAGGTTGGGGCCCTGCAGTCTTAGATGTGTTCTGCAATGTGACATTTGCGTACTTGTGTCGTGGGGACTGAAAATGGTTCGACATTATTATGTGGATTGGGCATGTAAAAGTTGTCACTTTGGTGAGCAAACTGACCCTCCTTCGGATAAGTTTCAGAAAATGAGCCATCAATCAGGAATTTTTGGCTTGCTTCCACTACTGTCAGTTTAGTGGCGATTAACTGCTTATTTATGTTTCTCCTATTTTTTAAATTCAGGCATGAGATCCAAAATTTTTAATTAGCTTCAGGGGTTACCCAGTTGCTGTTACATGAATATGCTTGAGTTCAGGATGACTGAAGCAGCATCGAATGATCTAGGTGCACCTTAACTTCACTCGTTTAAAAGAACAAATCTGTGTAACATTTAGTAGCACTGACTCATGATGCACATATTACAGTTGAAATGCAATTTAGATAATTATTTTATGTCTTCTTGGTGTTCGGCTCTGGCTCGGTTGATGTTTCAAGCGTACTGGATCGAGGGTCTTTTAATTCTATAATGCACACAGAAATCACCAATGGAAGTTTTTTTTTTTTTACCAAATGTGGGAGCAGGGAAGATCATCCTTGAATCTGTTATCTTGACAACCGTGGTGGTTGTCAGTCTCACCCTTTACACTTTTTGGGCGGCGAGGAGAGGCCACGACTTCAGCTTCCTGGAGCCCTTCTTGTTTGGTGCTATTCTCGTGCTTATGGTCTTTGCTTTTATACAGGTACGACTCTTGCTTTTTATAAAGCTATGACTATACATAAAATGGTGCATTTCGTTGTTTTTGATCACCTTGTAATCGGTTTTTCAAACATGAAGAGAGTGAGCTGAGAGGCATGGAATGATGATTAAAAAATCACAATATTTTTGTCTCATGTCGGCATCTCGGTTTGATTGGCTTATTTTTCGTTTTATCCAGAGGCGCTATAACAAGTGTTCTTACCAGATGCAATTTAAAGTTTTTTGCAAACATTTTGCACTCTGTATCCTCTATGTATCATATATGTGCTACTTTACATGCATCTTTGTTTTATACATCTCACTGTCATTGATGGCATCGATGCTTTGCCAAATTGGATGCAGTTACTGTTCCCTCTCGGTAGGATCTCGGTCATGGTGTATGGATGTTTGGCGTCAATCATATTCTGCGGGTACATCATATATGACACGGACAACCTGATCAAACGCTACTCCTACGATGAATACATATGGGCCTCGGTGTCGCTGTATTTGGATATAATCAACCTCTTCCTGTCCTTGCTCACGATCTTCCGAGCTGTGGAGAGCTGATGGGTCTTCTGCTTATTGCTTTCATTCCTCTCTTTTTGACCCAGAAAACATCGAATGTACGATGGCCCATATTGTTTGTCAAAAACAATCCACAGAGACTATGTCAACCAGTTGATCGGTTTGATGATGATGTACATGTTTCTTCTATTGTTGTACTTTTGTTTCCTTAGTGACTAAATCTGTATTTGGAGAACATCATCTGTGATCTTTTACTGGAGCTACATGGAAAATCCTTTGTACTAAACACTAAATGTCTTATTTCTCTTGTCGAAGATGGCGTGCATTAGTCTGTTGGAACTAAAAAGATTCGAGCCCAAAACATGATCTTTGCTTCGGTCCTTGTCCTTGTTTTTTATAATCTAACTCTAAAAGGACTATTTTCACAGAGCCTTTCGTTTGTTGGAGAAGCAAGCTGCTCTTAGGCGAGACCAAGTTTAGTCAACCGGGATCTGGATTTGTTCCAGACAGACTTGCCAACGCCCTCATGAGTTATGGGCTTCGTCTTTTTAGACCTTTCATTGCTCGTTGCAGGCATTGTGTTGCCGCACGTGGTTTGGTTTGAATATTTGCTTTTTTTCAGAGATGCAGGTCATTTGGCATGTTTCAATCATGTTTACCATCTTCGCATTTGGCGTTCAAAGATCATATCTTTGTGTTTAACATGCTGGACAATTGATTAATGCACTGGCCATTCATTGTCATCGCAGTTCGGGTGTTTCACCCCAAATCGCGTGAGTTTGCTGAACTTCATTTGCTGTATCGTCAACCTTACTTGATCGCATAACTTTGGTGTTCAGGCAAAAATCGAACATGACAGAGACGAGGAATATCGGATATGAGTTGCTGTGGGATTCTTGACAAAGAGAAGTGTCCACGCAGGGCGCCCACAAGCACAAAGGCCAGAACCTTTGTGAACCTCATGTAATGCAAAAGGGGGACCTATTGGCAAAGAAAGGGAGAAAACGAGGATGTAACTAAGATCGTCGACAAATAGCTATTCGGAATCTTCAACATGAGACAGCATTTGCGTTTCTTAAGCTGTAGGCGATCGGCAATCTCTGTTTCGATCCTCTGATATATGTCAAGTTAGTTACATACAATCCTGGATTCTGGTTCTGCATGATGAGAAACTAAAAAGGATCCAAAAACAAATGAGGAGCATAAAAGAAAGTGGAGTTCTAGATGATACCTTTATGTTGGGGGCATGGACGGGCCATCCTGCCTTTTGTCCTTTGTCTTCTACGTAGAGGATGAGATTCTCCTCAAGCGATGGCCATGCTTGCTTTGCACAGGTTCTGGGCCATGATGCTGAGTGCCCAACTCTAGGGGACTTAAAAGAGCAGGCACTCTAGGCAAAGATACTTCCAAAAGCCACGCTTTTGCCTGCCCCCAAACAGAGGAAACTGAGAGGGCAAAAGAGAAGCTCTGTTCATGTTTATGACAAGGCGAACCACTTTAGGATGAACTAGAACTAGATCTCGACCTCGACCTCGACCCACGGATCTCCCATGGTTGCGACTTGCAGCTCTAGATTTCGACTTTGCAGTGTCCCCTCCCGATTGCCATCTCTCCAGTAGCATTGACTACCGGCAATCTTTGGTCGGGAACCCCGGTCACGCGTTTGTCGCATGAGTATGATCGTGCCACGTTAGTCCGGCCACACTAAAATGCGCGTTTCGATCAAGATAACTTGAAGAGAAACATATGAGTTGCTGACAAGAATCTTTCACCTGAGATTTGCTAACCACGTTTGCCAACATTCGTGTCCAAAAAGGGGAGTTTCAAACCCGACCAAACATGCCTAGAACCACCTTATGACTGAAAATTGCAAAGCGCAGACTCCAAGCTTTCCGTGAATGCAAGAATTGATTAGTCTAGATATCGAGGAAAGAAGATTATGGATGATCAAAGTGGTGGAAAAGACACCCCAAGGCAATAAACTTCGACCAACTCCTTTGCTCTCAACGAAGTACGTCCGGAAGCAAGGAAAGGACAAAGCTGGACGTACTTCGTGAAGAGCTTTCAGCTGATGCCGAGTTCGCCTCTGTCGCGTATTGAGATCAGAAGATATCGCAGCTTTCACCGAGGCTTCCCAGCATCGTTGTCGCGAGGAAATCTTGTAATTTAGGTGGATTGGCTTATATATGAACAATTGCATCCTCACATAGCTTTGAGCTCTACAAATCATGTGGGATCAACTGGCATTTTCATTTTCTTATCCTCAGTTTTCTCGGGCTTCTTCGATTCTCTATCATATGTTGGAGTTAAAGATAGGCGTGTGATATATATCTTGCATTGTTCTCTTAAAAAACATTGATCTTTTGCGGAATATCCTAGGAAGAAACTCTATCAAAACATGAATAGATACACATACATTTATAGATTTTGTTAACGAATACTTTGAGGGCGCTTGGTAAACATCGAAACGAAGAAATTTTGTTATTTCCAAAGGCACTTCGATTCTCATGTTATGCACAACCGATATATTAAAAATGAAGATATTATTTTATGGAGTGTAGCTAACAAGTGCCTCAAGAGTGCTCGTTAATAAAGCCCTACCGACAACTACATCCTGGTTTTAGCATATACCGGTTCCTCGATAAAATTAGAAATAAGAAAATCACACCCTACAAAATAGGAATAAATAAGGTGATCGTGATATGACTCGACTAAAAGAACAATTATACATCCTCCATCACCTCTCTCGAACGTTGGCCGCCCGGCGAAAAATATTTTCCGAAACTTTTTCATATTGGTCGCGAACACCGGAAAATTATGTTCCGGAAAAACATTTTCCAGGAAAATGACTTAGGAAAATATTTTCCAAAAGGAGAATATTTTCCGCCAAACGAACGGGCCTAAAAGAACAATTATACATCCTCCATCACCTCTCTCAAATTGTCGTGTTACACACAATCAATGTATTAAAAATGAAGACACTACTTTATTGAGGGTAGTTAACAAATGCCTCGAGAGTGCTAATTAATAAAACCCTACCAAACACTACATCCTAATTTTAGCAAATACGGGTTCCTTGATTTTGTTATGCACAATCAATGTATTAAAAATGAAGTTATTACTTTATTGAGCGTAGTTAATGAGTCCCTCGAGAATGCTCATTAATAAAACCCCAATGACAACTACATCGTGATTTTAGGGGAAAAGTGTCAAAAAAGTCTTAAACCTTTTACATTTACGCCAATTTAGTCTTAAACCTTTTTTTTATGCCAATTCAGTCCTAAACTTTTTGTATTTGTGTCAATTCAGTCCTTCCAACCAATTTTGACCGGATTTTACTGACGTGGACGCTGACCGACACCGGCGCTGATGTGGATAACTTTTAATATTTATTTCTTTCTTTCTTTTTCTGTTTTTTCCTCCCCTCCCTCCTTCCTCCAGCCGATCGCCGGATCGGCGACTGGTGAGGTAACCTCGCCGGATGGCCGCAAGGGCAGCCTCGCGCTGGGCAGGCAAGGCTTGAGCCTTTGCCGAAGGCGAGGTCGAGCCTTGCCCAGCCGCAGGCCAAGCTCGAGCCCTTGCTGGAGGCCACAAGGTCGAAGGCCGCGGCCTCCGGCGAGGGCTCGAGCCTCGCCGGCCTCTGGCCTCTAGCCGGTCCGGCGATCGGCTGGAGGAAGGAGGGAGGGGAGCGAAAAGAAAAAAAGAAAAGAAAAAAAGAAAAAAATAAAGAAAAATTCAAAAAATATTAAACTATTATTAAAAGTTATCCACGTCAGCGCCGGTGATCGGCTGCCTGCCGACCAGCGTCCACGTCAGCAAAATCCGACCAAAATTGGCCAGAAGAATTGAATTGGCATAAAGACAAAAGATTTAAGACTGAATTGGCACAAATGCAAAAGGTTTAAGATTGAATTGACACAAAAAAAAGGTTTATGACTAAATTGGCACAAATGCAAAAGGTTTAAGACTGAATTGGCATTAAAAAAAGGTTTAGGACTAAATTGACACCAATGCCAAAGGTTTAGGACTTTTTTGACACTTTTCCCTGATTTTAGTAATGCGAACAACAATTATCCATCCCCCATCGCCTCTTCCAAATTATCCAGGTCCAAATCACCTCTTTCTAGAGCCATACTCGCACGTTTCAATCGAACCCCGATTTTCTTGCTACTTTCTTTTCTTGTTTTTCTCTAGATACTAACAAATCAAAGTTAGAGAAAAGCGAACCAGAAAAGGAAGGATCATCTCCTAGAAGAGAGAGAGAGAGAGAGATAGAGGAAAAGATGAATTTTCTCCATCATACAACGTGCTTTGTTTTCTAGCGGTCTTTAAAGGGCGTGATATCCCTTCTAGGGTCACCGCACTTAGAATTTGAAGTTACATCAGAAGAGCAATTGGGACCATCTGGGTATCTAGAATATCTACACCCATCATACTTTTTTCCCATCTTTCATAAATACAAAAGAGACAATGTACAAAGACATGAAGAGTCAACGTAGGTTGGCTTCGAAGATGCAACAGCCATAATGCCAGCTAAAATGGCATGAAGGGTCTTGCGGTACCCCCTCGATTTCTCATCTTTCAACAACGTTTGCAAGCACGTTTGGTCCGGTGGTATGGGTTGAATTATGTAGGAGAAACGAGAGATGACCGAAGATGATACATTTACTTGTCATAAGAAAAGAAAATTGGTTAATGTCACATGTAGCAAATATTAAGGGCGCAATGGCATTGACGACTCGATCTCAAGATCGCTGGTGCCCATGTCGACTTCGACGAGGCCATCCATGGTATCCATGACCTCGAGGTCACGACTCCATAGACGACCTCATGTCAAGGTGTTACGGGCATGTGAATCCTTCCTTAGCGGTCGTTGATCATTCCTTTAAAGGTGCCTGCAGATCCTTCCATAGTGGCAGTCGTGAGTGGCTCGGGGGGCCACGGCTGTAGGTGGCGGTGGTGGGGTATTATTGTGGTGGCTAAATTAAGGATTTGGGTTAAAGATTTTCCATGATCGTTTTGTCACCTTCACATCTCTTTCATCAACTCCCTTTTCGGGTCGCATATTCCTATCGAGAGTAATCTTCTTGCGGGGACCATCACAATCCCCATCCATAGCATGCGTAGCAGAACAAAAAGCCATCCATGTTCTCTTTCGACCTCAATTATCACCAAGGGCGACGGATTATGATCAGTGCTCGATTCAACCACAGTAAGAAATGGATCGACAACTTGGGGTCAGGGACCCGATGTTCACCTGTGATGTCGCGTTGCTAGCAAGTAACG